CGGGCTGACGCCTGGCATCTCTTCCACTTCAAAGGCAAAAATGTCTTTGAATTCTTTTAGCAGTTGGTGCAAATTTGCGCCCAACTTGGCAAAAGCAACCGTCCCCACTTTAATGGTTCGTTCCGGACGGCTGTCGTCAAGAACAATGTCAATATTTTCACCAGCCGGCTGGGGACGGAGATCATCTGACCGTTCCCCGATCGGTGATTGCTATTGCTTCTCTTTTTTGACGGCCACCAGGTGGTCCGCCTTTCTCTTTTTGCCGGCTGCTTTGGGAGCAGGCGCGGCTTCCTTGAAGTCATCAAGGTCAATAGGTTCCTCGCCTTGTCCGGCTGCGGCCACAGTAGGCTTGACGTATGAGAGATAGAACTTCCTTGCCGTCTTCTGATCCCCATTCAGGGAACCCACTGACCCATCATCCCTCTCAAATTTGATTAGCATAAGGGATGGGATAATGACTGCCTTGGACTCGTTGAGGGTTGGACGGCCCAAAATCAGATTGTAGGCGGTCAATTCCTCAACCACCAAGAACTTGACGACCATGTGTCGTCCCTCCCCCTTTTCTCCTAGCCTGATGGGTAGGTCAATCTTCCCCACCGGATGCACTACTTCTCCCTAAAAACCAACTAAGGGGTGAGAGACTTTGTGCATGCTGCTAGGCTTGTACTTGAGCTTCGCCAAGCACCGATAGCTGATAAGGTCAGACGAGCTCCCGGTATCAATGAGGATTCAGCCCACTCGTTGGTTGGCAACCTTGCACTCGATGACTATGGGGTCATCATGAGGCCGCCTGACCTTGCCCCGGTCCTTCTTAGAGATGATGACCTCAGGGAAGGTGTCTACAGACGCCTGGCCCTCATCCACTGAGTTGACCTCCAGCTTTCTGATGTTGTCCTTGGTGTCCCGGCGGATGGTAGGACCCCCTCCCGCGAAACCACGTGCTATAGTAAAGATTTGCACTTCATCAGTGTCAAAGCTTATAGCAAGGTTGTCAGGCTTCTTGGACGACTGTCCACTGTTTGTTCTGGGGTTACCCTTGGACTTCAGAATATAGGACTTCAAAGCCCCCTCACCAGCCAGACAGTCAAGTAACCGCCTGAGGCTATAGCAGCCACTGGTGTCATGGCCTATATCCTCATGAAAATGACAGTACTTGCTCTTGTCCCGGCTTTTGATGGGACTTTTCATTGCAGCCGGTTTCTTAATGGTCAACCGGTCTTTAATCTCCATGAGGATGGAGGAACAGTCCTTGTCTTCACATAGATTCGTTCAGGTTACTTCCTTCTTTTTTGAGTGTTGCATCATATTGGAAGGGATTGGTAGAAGTGGAGTGTTTTGGATCATGCGTTAAGATTGTCAGTGGACTTTGGAATCAAATTCATACGTTAAGGTTGCTTGGTGAAATACAGGTGACAGATGCAGTTGTCATTGCAAGAAATTTTCCTCGTCTCACACATTTGTCACTTAAGAAATGTACCTTAATGGACAATGCTTTTCACTAATATTAGAAGGCCAAAAGAATCTCATTTACCTTGATACAACACATGCACTTCTTCGTGAGAAGAATGTTCGTTGGGCCAAGGATTGGGATGAAGACCTTCTCTTAAAGGCCAGCAGGGTCACACAATACTTGAGATGTGAAATGAGGAATTGTCGCTATTGTTACAAAAGGTATTCTCTTTGAAGTGTGATGAATTTGATATTTCTTGAAACTTGAAAGAGATGGGAAATCACAAATTTGTCATCAGTTTGAAAAACTCGTTTCCTTCACAGGAAGGAAAATGCTACTTGATCTATTGCAAAGTCGCCCATTATCATGGACGCCATGGGTTTGGCCTAAAATAACGCCAAAGAGCCTTTTTGTGGGTGGACCAACATCTGCATCCCACAAATTCATGGTTTTGTTTTGTAAAGGTGCTAGACCTAGTTTATCTCTGGAAGTATGCATATACACAGAAGAAAAGAGAATTTTATACAATTGTACCCCTCCTCTCTGTTTCATTTACTCTTTGCAGACTTATAGGGCGATGAATGAAACTATATTTATATCATACAATGGTTTGTTAAAATTAGGAATTATAACAAATGTCCACTTATTTTTAATATTTTTTTTCTAGGACAAGATGATCACAACCTATTGCTGATGTTGGACCAAGTTACATTATGCTATTTATGCCTACGTTAAGTAGCCGAAGCTCCATGCAAGAAAAACGTTCCACCGGCCATGGCTTGACAACACTTCTACTTTGAACTATTAATCAATGAAACACCATATATAGCTATTTATAAAGTTATAACTTATGAGTTGTAATTAGGGGTTGCAATGGATTGGAGGTGGGACTGTTAATGCTTCATCCACCTCCATCCGCTAAGGAACCATCCCTCATCCGGCCCATCCATCACCTGATTTACCCTTCATCCACATCTGTTCCACCCATCATTCACGGATTAATTTGGTAAATCGGGTAATAAATTGAGTTAAGTAAATTTAAATGTATTGTCAAACTTTCATAATCAAAAGTAACACCAAGAATAAAGTGATTAATAAAATAAAATAAAATTTGATACAGCCATATAATATTTTCTTATTTCTATTGGCATAAAGACACAATTCATTTCCAAATTGCTTATTTCATAATATTTCACAATCCATATAATAAGTCGCGTCTTGAAAACCGTGAAAAAGTCAAGTGGAACACTTTTAAGGGATGGAGAGAATATTATTCATTTTATAATAGAACAATTAATTAACGAAACAATTATTTTGTCACCATAAAAAAGTAGAAATAATGCATGTTTGAATAATTAATTTTTTAGACGGCTTGAACTATTAATCAATGAAACACTATATGTATTTGTTTATAAAGTTATAACTTATATGTTGTAATTAGGGGTGGCAATGGATCGGAGATGGGTCGGGTGATGCTTCATCCACCTCCATTCGCTAAGGATCCATCCGTCATTTAACTCATCCATCACACGATTTATCCTTCATTCACATCTGCTCAACCCATCATTCACAGATAAATCAGGTGAAGTAAAATAAAATGTATTATCACACTTTCATGACAAAAAATTAGGGAAATTTCCATTGGTACTATTGTGATATTGACTTTTTCGAATGATACCACTTGATATTTTTTACTTCCCAAGAATGCCATTGAGGTTTGGTTTCTGTTAGGAAAAGTTAATTTTGGTTAAATTTTTTTTTTACTTATGTTAAAACCACTTAAAATTACTATTATACCCTTACTTTTCTCCTATTTTAATTTTACCTTTTTTTTTTCTCCTCACTCTCTTTTTTTCTCTTTCCTCCATCCTCATCTTCAATGGTAGCCTGTTACACCAATGCCTAGAATCACCACTACCACCGACAACCTCCACCTCCCTCTTTAGGCGTTAGCAAAAGAAACCAACTTCACTCCTCACACCCTCACTCCTCTCCCCCTTTCTCTTTTCCTCATTTTCATTTTCCTCCAAACCGCCAACAATAGTCACGTCGCCTCTATGAGCACCTGCACCACCATCGCCACCCAGCACAACCTCTTTTGATTCTCTATCCTCCTCCCACCCATCTTCTTCCATAAAGCCCAAAACAAAAGCATTGATTTTAGGATCAATTGGATTAAAAATCATATTAATTAGGATCAATCTAGATAGCAGAATGCTCAAACGCAATTCGAAACCCATGGAATTGTTGCCCTAGTCCATAAATTTCTAGAGCCAAATTTTAATTTCATCACTCCTAAATCACCTTTTTTGCAATTCAAATTTCCGAATTCATCAATTATTAATGCGATTTCACAAAATTGACACAAATTTCTAATTTCAAACTCAACACCATGCACTGAATTTCTGGGTTCGAGTTTAGGAGAGAGAAAATGTCAATGAGCATAAAGCTACTTGGAAAGTAAAATTATCTCGCCGAATACATGTTGACTCATTTTTGTTCAATTAATGCTATATGATGATGATGGCGAAATAGATGTATGGAGAAGGGGAAAGAAGGTGAACAGGGGATAACAAATGGCGAACTAAGCACCTATTTACAAGCTTGCCCATTAGATCCAGATGTTCAAATCTTCGATTCACAACTCCATGAATGCAAATTCATTGATAATTTAGATTGTTTGCTTGAGTTGTGTGTTGTCCTAGATGGATTTGGGACGAAGGCAGGGGATTGAGTTCCAAGCAGCAAAAAGGTACGAAGGTTGGTGGTTAATTAAATAGACCACAAATTAACATTGAGATAGAAATATAGAATTAGAACTTGCTCAAAAAATACTTTGCTGGATGGATTTGGGACGAAGGCAGGGAATGTATTCTTTTAGAAATAAGACACGTAACTTATTAATGTTTATTAACTTAAACTAACGTTTTACTAACAAAATATGGTACCATTGAGAAAAGTCAAAATCACAATGATACCATTGGGAAGTCAAAAATATTAAATGGTGCCATTTAGAAAAGTAAAAACCACAATGTTACCAATGAAAATTTCCCTAAAAAAAACTTGAGAATAAAGTGATTAAAAATTAAAATTTGGTGCAACCATATATTATTTCCTTCTTTTTATTGGCATAAAAACATAATTTATTCTCAAATATTTACTTCTTTCAATGTATTATGTTTTATTTTATGTATATATTTAATGAGTGAATTGAAGGATCGGGTGATGGGTTGGATGGACGTCCGCCCAAATCCGTCCCGACCCGTTACCCGTTACCCGATCCATCCATCATCAGTTACACATTCGCTTTTGGTTGCGCCTCCATCACCTCTCCTCCTCACGTCTCCATCTCTATCTCCTCCACCACCTCGAATCTCCATCCATTAAAATCCTCCAACAAAAGCAGCGTGTCTGACCATCACCAGTCGACGGCGCCTCCTCCAACCACCTCTCTTTCTTTGCCGTTGTAATTCGAGGTATGAAGTTTCTTCATTGAACCCACTGACTTTTTTAAAAAATTAAAAACTTTTTTTTTTTAATTTTTTGTAAAGAAAAAGCGAAATAGGTTTAAATAAAATATTTGTGTATTGTGTGGTAAAAAGTAAAGCTGTAGCCTCTTCCTCATTCCCTTTAACCTCTTCCACTTCCCGTCTTCCCTCTGTGTCTGTCCGCCTCTCCTCTGTCCCGCAGCCCCGCAGCCGACGCCTCGTCAGCCAGGCAACGACTCCGACGGTCCGACGTGAGGCGACGTCTTTGAATTTCGTCCTCGTAGGCTCTTACTCTGGTAGTGAGGTTAGTGAATTTGGGGATTTTTTTTGCTAAATCGTTGAATTTCATATGCTAATGTACATTACGATTTGGGATTTTTTGTAAATCGCTGAAGATTGGTTATAATTCGCTAATTTACTTCTCAATTTGGGGATTTTTTTTTGCTAAATCGTTGAATTTCACATGCTATTTCGATTTCTGGATTTCATATGCTATAATATGTTTACTAATTGACTGTAAATCTGTAATTACGATAGTTTTAATTAGTCTTCATATGCTATAATATGTTTACTAATTGACTGTAAGTCTTCATAATTACGATAGGCCAACAGTCGATTGATTGATGAGCTTGCCTTTCCGTTTAGTCGGTTTCCTTTAAATCTTTAATGCCTAATTTTGCCTTACTGGTTTGCTGTGATTAATATGCTCAATGCTGTCTTTCATAATTTCAATATTTCATTGCTGTCGATTGTCAAAAATTCAAAATTGTCTAATTGGAATTTGTGAATGTTGTTAAAATTGTCTAATTGTGATTGGAATTATGTTGGGTTAAACAATAATTGAGATTAAAATAATAAGACATCTTAAGTTGAAATTATTACTCTTAATATTTCCTTACTTTTAAAGCAAAAAATTAAATTGCATAGAGCAACAGTGATTTGTAAAGGATTACAAGGCTCATTTAAAATTTACATAGAAGCTAATAATCCCATGAACATAGAAAAATCCCTACTTAAAGAAACTAACTAAAACATAGCTCTTGCAAAAGGGCAAAAAAATAAACACTCAAAAAATGCTAACAACATAACTTAGATCATTATATACAGTCATACAAATAATGTTTGAAAGCTTATAAAGTCCATAAATGCAATCCAAGGATCTCTAATGTTGTCATATAAAATTTAACTCTAAAACACATTGAAAAATTAAGCAGCCAAAAAAGTTGCCAAAAGAGCTTACAAGTAATTTCACATATGCAAATTGCCAAAGTATGAAAACTCATATATGCTTTTGTATTTCTTTTTCTTCATTTTTTTTATGGGTAATCAATTTATAATCCACAATTTGAACTTATGTATTGAATATTTAATGATTATAATTTCATCCTTTTGTTAATTACGATTCCAAACCGAACCCACACTTCGGAAATCCTTGAGACGCCACTGTCTAATGGTATCGATTTTTGTACGATTTTTCTGTTGATTTAATTTGTATTTTAAGTTTTACTAACTGTTAATTCTCATGGATTTTGATCTGGAATTTATTGGACTCGCCTTGATTATTTTGGTTGTGGTTCTTTTTTTCAAATGTGTTTATCACATGCTGGGAGTATTCCGAACACTGATTATTAAGTATCCTTAATTCCTTGTAGCTTATAGTATTGATGGTGAGCGAAAAATCTTTGAAGAGGGCAGAACCTGACTGGCGATTGAAGAAATGTGCGAAAAGGAATGTTGTGGCTAAGGTCGATGAAGAGAGTGACAGTCACTTAATTAGAAGGTGGGAAGAGATGAACCATGAAATATTGGTTAGCATAATGAAGCGATTGGGTGTGTTAGATCTTATATTTTCAATTTGCTTTGTTTGCAAGTCCTGGCTGGATGCCACACTGGACACTTTCTTCCCACCACAGGATGTCTTTAGTTTGAGTGATTTCCCTTTGCTCCTCGGTTCTAGTTCATACAACAGAAGAGTTCAGCGCAGAAGGTTTTGGAGGATGGTTGAACTTCATCTCAATCGCGATCAAGCAAGACTTCATACTAAACTTGTACTGCCTTGTATTCGCTTAAACAAGTATGGTTATCTCTACATTGCTAAGAGGTAAGTTTTCCTCAACAACTATTCCTGTGTATCAACCATTTTAGATACATTAGCACATTAAGAAACCATTTTAGATACATTAGTACATTAAGAAACCATTTTAGATACATTCAGGGTCCATCATAGATACATAGTGTTTTAATAACATTTAGTAGGAACAAGTATGAATTGGATTCATAAGAAATACATTACTGGTACATTAAACATTTATATAGATATATCAAGTGAATAATAGAGGTATAATTCGAATTGAAATATAAAAATCTTATATTAACATTGACAAGAAGGATAAAAAAATATGGAATTCCGAAAAGAGGAAAGAGAATTTGGAAGAGATTTCGTAGCTGATGAACTATGAGTGAAGATATAGCACAACTAAATCCAAGTTTAATTACGAAATTCAAGGAACATCTAAAAAAAATAAAATTCAAAATGATCCAAAATTTACTGAATTGAAGATTGACATGGACAAAAAACTAAGAGAAAGAGATTGGAGGCCAATTTAAAATACCATACCTAGTTAATCAAGAGTGACAACAACCAAGTTACACTAGAGATCCACGCTACCAGTTGATAAATAACTCGAAAATCATCTTTTATTTTGCTGAATTGGGATAAAAAAAGGTCATTCTCAGCCATGGGCATACACATGGCATACATGTGATATATAGACGTGGGATGAGTGAAAATGGTTGGGCGCTGGCCGCCATGTTCGAACTTCATCGAGAAGCTCAAAAAGGGGAGAAAGAAATCGGGAGAGAGAGAAGATGTGAGATTTTTTGGGTTATTCATGTGGTAGGTTGGAAGAAGGGAAGCTAGTGCGTATAAATTATAAAATTACCAAATATGCCATTATTTACATGGGTTTTTTTGTTTTTTTTATCTGATAGATTAAGTTAATTGAAGGGATATAAATGCTTTTCACCCTTCTCACCATAAGTGTGCTTGTCATATGAGCCTAAATCGAAGGGTCGGGATTCGTTGAGAAGGGTTCTTAATATGTGAAGCGAGAGAAACCTAGATATATCAAGTATGCAATGTAAATACATTAGTTTAAACTACAAATGCATTGATGTTATTCTACTATGACATCAAACTTTTATCATTTTAAGTATCCTAGATACATGGAGTAGCCTCTACAAAACTGTTTTGTGTGGTTTTCGTATTTTTGTTTTAAATTTTCTAAGAAACAGAAAACTGGAATAAAAAGTCAATAACAAACGGGCCTTTAGATTTACCAGGTTGTTTGTTTTAGAAATGAGAAAGAAAATCCCAATTAAAACCATCACAATCACTGCCCTTCAGCGCAGCCCCTCCCTTCCCCTCTTCCTCTGGCTGCTGCCCCTATAGGCCCTACTCTTCTCTGTCACTGCAGCCGCAGTTTCTCCTCCCTTATTCTATCTTTTTTTTTTTTTTTTTTTTTTATAAAAAATCTATCTTAGATCTAGAATTTTTGTGGGTGGTGGGTGGAGATTCTTGTTGGTTGGTTGGGTTTTCAGGGGTGGGGTGGGGTGGGGTTTTCGTAAGTGGAAGTGAGTTTTTCAGGTGGGTGGAGATAAGGTTTTGTGGTTAGAATGGGGTGGGGTTCTCGGTGGCTGGAGTGGATGATGTTTTCGGTGGTTGGTGGCTTAGAGAAAGGGAAACGGGGGGGTGGGATGGGGTATCAAAATAGAGGAGTTTGGGGGGTATGGAGAAAGGGAATGATTAAATGACTTTGCAAACAACAAAGAATAGAATTAGACACGTTGATTCTCTTTCCATTTCCCGAATACCCCATACCAAACGCCCCCTAAGTTCATAAAACAAATGTTTTGTATACATCAATCCATGAACCTTTCGTGTACCCATCGGACAGCAGCCCTTTCGGGGGTAGGTCGAAGCCAGAGGCTCCCTTCTTCTGGTCGTTGCAAATAATACATTAAACAAACATTTATGTATATTATGAAAATCATTAAAAATACATTAAAGAATCAAGAAGTCATTCTAACTTATTAGACCAAATCCTCAAATTCAATACCAGTATACCTTAAGAAAATCACTGAAAATTTTAAAAGCAAATAATTTAACACAGACAATTAAATACAAAAAAGCTCAAGATAGCACATTGTTCAAATGCAAGTTCTATTTCCCTGATCTTCAACTTGCTAAGTTCCTCCATACATTTCAAACACTTCAACACTCCACAAACTGAAATCACAAACAATAAAGCTAGATCTCTTGGGCAATTTGGGTTGTAAAGGGGGGGATTGAAGAGTTGTAAAGCGAGTACTTCCACTCATGGGAAAACTGCTCAGTTGGGTTGGGGGAAGACAATTTCGGGAGGAACAACAAGAAGCAAAGGAACAAGAACATTGTGCTAATTCGGGCCGTTGAATTTTTATCCAAGGGACACAATGGCCCAAGTATTTAATCGAGTGTGAGAATTTAGCTAACATATTATACTTCTCTATTGCTTGAAACTTTAGGTACAGAGAAATGCAACTGACTTTTGATCTAGCTCATTGATAAAGGGTTCCGTGGTTATAAATTCACTTTATATGAAGTTTTTTTTTTTTTTTGACGCAAACACTTTATATGAAGTTTGATCATTGAGATGGACATTTTTGTGTTCCTATACTAACTGAAGTTTAAATTTTTATATGAATATTTTCCTGGTTTTTTTAATTAATTCATATGACAGTTTGTGCAGTTCAAATACTCGGTGAAAGGATACTTGTAATTTACTTTGTCTTTTGATATGCATCACATTGTTTGATTTATTCTGTCTTTTGATATGCGTCACACTGTTTGATTTATTCTGTATTTTGTACCCTTTTGAATTAAGTTCTTCAGAATCCCTCGTTCAACAACTGTATGGTGATCATCGTGACTTTAAGTTTTGACATTGCAGGTTACCTTCACTTAGGAGTCTGTCTCTTCACATGGATTCGTTGAGGTTACGTCGTCCTTTTTTGAGTGTTGCATCATATTGGAAGGGATTGGTAGAAGTGGAGTGTTTTGGATCATGCGTTAAGATTGTCAGTGAGCTTTGGAATCAAATTCATACGTTAAGGTTGCTTGGTGAAGTACAGGTGACAGATGCAGTTGTCATTGCAAGAAATTTTCCTCGTCTCACACATTTGTCACTTAAGAAATGTACCTTAATGGACAATGCTTTATCACTAATATTAGAAGGCCAAAAGAATCTCATTTACCTTGATACAACACATGCACTTCTTCGTGAGAAGAATGTTTGTTGGGCCAAGGATTGGGATGAAGACCTTCTCTTAAAGGCCAGCAGGGTCACACAATACTTGAGATGTGAAATGAGGAATTGTCGCTATTGTTACAAAAGTTATTCTCTTTGAAGTGTGATGAATTTGATATTGCTTGAAACTTGAAAGAGATGGGAAATCACAGATTTGTCATCAGTTTGAAAAACTCGTTACCTTCACGGGAAGGAAAATGCTACCTGATCTATTGCAAAGTCGCCCATTATCATGAACAAAATCACGCTAGAGAGCCTTTTTGTGGGTGGACCAACGTCTGCATCCCACAAATTCATGGTTTTGTTTTGTAAAGGTTCTAGACCTAGTTTATCTCTGGAAGTATGCAATTGTACTCCTCCTCTCTGTTTTATACATGCAGTGCGAAAAATGAAACTATATTTATATCATCTAATGGTTTGGTAAAATTAGGAATTATACCAAATGTCCACTTATTTTTAATTTTTTTTTCTTGGACAAGATGATCACAACCTGTTGCCGATGTCGGACCAAGTTACATTACCAAGTTACCTACGAAAAGCAGTTGAAGCTCCATGCAAAAAAAGCGTTTCAGCGGCCATGGCCTGACAACATTTCACCTTTGAAGTTCTATTTTGAAAATTCTCAACAAATTACAATGTGCAATAGGTTGAATAGTAAGCTACTTTCTGTCCACTGTTCTTTATATCACCTTGGGCAGGTTATTGAGTGATGAGCATCAGTGAATACATCTAAACTCTCTAGTTGCGGTACCTCATATATTGAGTGATGCTAACACGAACATGGTGATCAGTAACACGTCCTTGCGAAAGTTATATGTACGAATGCGTTCGTATCTGTCACCGCTGCCAATCTATAAAAGTTATCAGTAAATGTAGTTTTCCAATGACTAACCAAAAATGAATTGAAAATATGCTCGGTAGACAAGAAAACAATACATATATTCATCTAAAACGAGGATGAATTGTTGAGACGTTTCACCTGCTCTGCCCGAAGCTTTGATTTGTTTATCTAAGTTTTATATTTCTCAATTTCATAAAGCATTGCACATAGTATCTCCAATGCATTGGCCTTGTGCATAAAACAAGTGCATACAAAACTGGAGAACACAAGTAAAAGTATGGAATATAGACGAGAATGCATATAACTCGTTTAACATTGTATTGTTAGAATAACAAGAATATTTGTAAAAGAGAATAATAAGCATGAAATGCACAAGATAACATAAAGACCGACCCTCAGATTGCTAAACTTTAAGCAAAATGCCAAACAGCCATGTCCATTGATATCCTCCTTAACAAGTTCAAATACCTTATGCCTAACAAATACAGTCCCAAAATTTGTCAAAAAAAAAAAAATTACAACATTTTTACATGATAAAGGGGCAATGTAGCAACATCCAACGCACCCAACCATCCTAAAAATCAAATCCGGATTATAAGAAATTTACAACTTGTTTTGAAGGCAGCCTGCATGTAGTTGTTGACTTGTGCTCCCTGCAAGCAAAACGCTATGCTTCTTCCATTAGTACCATAACCCTACAGGTTTAAAACATATGATTACTCAATATGCACAGGATAAAGAGATCCACAAATACTTATCGCCCACATCCTTAGTCAGGAGTAATAAGATTGTTAGTGCAATCACCTATTTACCAATTGTATGCAGCTTATCAGCCTGTCCTACCCATGTACAAGGACCGACATCTATCTGCAGCTTAGATTTGAGACAGAAAGAAGAAAGATCATTCCTGACAAGCTATCTGCAGCTTAGATTTGAGATCGTAGCTTTCAGCTAACTGCATATGATGCTTCTCGATGTCACATGCTTCCTTTACCATCCCTGTTTCCAATTTACTTTTGTCTCCAATATTTTAAATTCTTGTGGTAATTGCATCTTCCAGAGCTTTCAGAGAAGCATTATTCTCATCACTTTTCTCACTGCATCATCCTGTACCGAAGCATATATACAAAGGACCGTAGGCTCAATATGAGCTATAATAGATAGGTACGTTAGCTTCATGCTGAAATGAATGGAAGCCATTTTTTAATCAACAACTGATCATATACTATAATGCTTAGATATAAATACTACACAGTGCTAAATCACCTAAGCCACTTACATCATTCAAGTGAATTACTCAGGCTCTGTAAAGCAAGGCATCCAACTTGACATATCTGAAAGTAGATTAACCTAATTGATAAACGCGACATCTAAGGGTATCTCATTTTAGTACTAGTAGCAGTAGTTATTCAACAACCAATCTTTAACCATTAATACTTGACAATGATAAATAATGAAATCAATCATCACAAAAGCTCTAAAATTCCTGCAAAACTCAACAACCTATAGCATTAGGTTGGAGCATAAAACTCAAATAGGAGTTCTTGTACCACTATAATAATTCAAAGAATCCAGAAATAGAGTAGGGCAAAAAGAAGTGCCTTTAAACAAGAAAATAGGGGTTTTGAATTTCAGATATCACATATCAGTAACACAAACCTAATTACTTTCTAGTAAAGGGGAAATAAACAGCTTTCCCAATATTCAAATCTTCTAAACATCCCTAAAACCTTAATACTTCAGATGGATTTATAAACATCAGCCAAATTCACGAATCAGGCAAAAAAAGAGAACCCACAAAACCCCCAATTACAACTGCTTCTCTAATATTATATTATGGCAATGCAGAATTATAATTAAATAGGAAGTTTTTAAGGAAATAGAAGAGAGTCCCACATAAACAAAAAAGAATCAGCACAAAAAACACCAAATCCGATGCAATTTCAATTATTCTACCATTATATGATAGCTAAGTAAATTAAATTTAAAAAGTAGTTCAACTAAGACGCACACTGCTAAAATACAGGTAGCACCCATAATCCATGTGAAGTATGAGTCTTAGTATCACCTAATCCCTCTTTTGAACATCCAGGCTATGCATTTGCCAAATTTATTGTCATCTATTCCAATTGAATTAGAATCGATATACAAGTTGGACTCTTGCTATGCAACACAAAATAAACATCCTCTCAGGTGAATCACTCAATATAAATTTGCCAAGAAAGAATTAATAAATATTAATCCCATAACTTATTATCATCTATTCTAATTGAATTAGAATCGATATACAAGTTGGACTCTTGCAATGCAACACAAAATAAACATCCTCTCCGGTGAATCGCTCCATATAATTTTTCCAAGAAAAGACTAATAAATGCCATAAGATACTGCCAGTTTTTTTGCGCGCTACCTAATTAGCTAATATAGTTAGTTTACATTCTTTTATTGGGATAAAATATTATATAATAAAATTCTTTTTCTTTCTCAGATTCAGCACCTAAGAACAGGCAGCGCAACCAATTGTTTAAAATGCACACCAGTTACAAGAGACGGTGCTCTGCACCAAACACAACCAAAGTCTAAAGGCGGATAAATTAGCAAATCCTGATCAATCACAACTCAAGAAACAATACGAAAGAAACCAGACATATACACCAACACAAGCTCAAGTCCAAAAACTGAATAAAGGGCTCAATTTACATCTAGTACACTTATGGTGCTCCAAGGTGTTTACAGGAAGAGAAAAGGTATGCCAAGCATGCAATACAACGATACAAGAAAGTGTAAATAATAGATTTGAAGGAACTATGGTTGCTTGAGGCTAGCACCTGGGCATGCTTCTTAAACCTTAGGGTTTGTACTTGGTAAGAGATAGAATGGTGTGTCTCCATAGTATTGCATCTAGGAAGAAGTAAGTTTAAGACCCCGTTTGGCCAAGCTTCTAGAACTGTTTATCAACTTGAGAAACAATTTTTCTAGAAGCCCCAATTGGTTTCTAAGAAAGAAGAGAAGGAGAAACACCAATTTAGAGCTTCTACACGTGTTTTTCGGGGAGCTCTTTTTCCCTTCAAATGAAATTTTCTTCATTTCCATAATACCCCACATTTTTTGAAAAATGTCCCTAATATCCCACCTAAAACTCCACCTAAAACTACTCTCCTACTCCCTGTTCTTCTCTCTCCTCGTCAAGCCATGATATCAACGGATCCTCCTCCTCGTCCGCTCCCTAATCCATATCCTCCATCAAATAACTTTATGATGCCATATTTTGTTGATTTTATAATACCTATTTACTAACAGTAAGAATTCCCATGTTTACCAATTGCATTGTTACAGATCTTCTTTTTGTTTAGTTATTTATTAAATTTTGATGGCTATTTAATTTGATTTTGTCTGGATAGGTTCTTAAGAACTTGTTTTGTCCTCCGTTGTTTTCAATTATGAAAATATGAATTCTTTGGTGTACAGGTGGAAATTTTTAATTTTTAGTTGCAGGATCTCAACGGGTTTCTCAAATTTTTATCAGATCTTAGAAACTTCAAGCCTTGTGGTATTGTGATTAGTTTTACAAAAATGGAGTGAATTATAATGTAGAGAATTATTCCTACTTCTTCTGTTGTTCATCGTACTTTCCAAGGAGATGATTTACACTTGTTGTAAAAAGAGATGAAACAACAAGCAGAGGGCCAAAAGAGTTTCTTCGGAGTCCTTTGTTGTTGGAAATCAAATTAGCTAATACACTGATTAATGACATTATAACACTAACCCTTGTTGGCGAGTTACCCCAAAGAAAACGACCTTTGTTGGCAAATCAAATTAGTTAATACACTGATTAATAACATTATGCAATGACATAATAGAAAGAAAAGGTAGGCCAGCCAAATACTCTTGCTGGTAAACAATGGGCCAAACAGGGAAATTTTGTTTCTATTCCTAAGTAGCACTTCTAAACTTTTTGGCCAAGCATTTCTGTTTTTCACAAGTGTTTCTGGAGAACTACTTTTAGGAAATAGAAGTTCATTTCTAAATGATTGGCCAAACAGACACTGAGTCATGAATTTATATTTTCTTGGACCTTAGTCCTAAATATTTTCAGCATGTATGAGTGTAACTTAGAAGCATGAAAAGAGAGAATACATACCATGTGGAGAGTGTCACGAGGCTTATATCAATCAGGAACTTGAGCTCTGGCAAAAGCAAGTGTCAAGGCTCCTCTATCAATACACCTTTGCCACATTATCTGCGAAGGATATCAATAGAGGCACTTATTAATCAAATTGGTTGAAAATGGCAAGTAACTAAGTTCTAAAGTATAGGTATATAATGTGTAAAGCTGATAAATAAACCTTTGCTAAAGCACTCATATTTCTTAGATCAGTACTGAGCGGATCGTCCAGGTGCATCAATTCTGAACTTATTAGTTACACAGTGAACAAAGACAACTCAAAATAAATTGATGCTCATAATAAAGTATTGGCTCATATTCAATAGAAGTACTGCATCATCACCATTCATATAGCAATTGAGTATGCCTATAACTAAAGATTCATCTCAACTCTCAAGCAAATTGACTACCCCTTGAAAAAAAATTCAAATTTAATACAAAATCTACTTCCTTTGTCAAATCAAATTACTCATTCACAATAGATTTTATCTAAACAAGAGGCAAATTAACTCAAACATTGAAACATGAACCATTTCCATTAAAATTAGCAAGTACCCATATCACATTAATGTCCCAAATGAAATTAAAAACCATAAATTCTGCAAAAGAAAAAGTGGTTGTGCTAGATTTTATAAATTCTTTGTATTCAAAGCTTAATTACATCAATAAGTAAAGGGCGAAATTGGAGAACTTAAGTAGAAAGGGAGCTAAAATCTCATTGGTCATTAAGGTCCACAAAAGCCAGCTATGAAATCCAGTCCTTTGCTATAAAAAAATTCAACAAAACTTAAGACAAAAAAAGTTATGTAAAAGCATACCTTAAAACTCAACAATCGACAACTAATTGAAGTAATACTTGATCAACCAACAACTGCGACAACATCATAACCACAAAATTGCAGGGAAAGAATTATGGGTTTGCAAATATGCTAACCAAAGGAAAAGGGAAATAAGTTGAGATACCTAATTCAAGCCCATTAACCAATTTTCTCTTGGTTTGGACTGGCTCCACATCTGCAAAATGTAAAAACACGCAATTAACAAGCAGTTAATGAGGGAATAAAGGTAGCTGAATCAAAGAACAACAACCGCAATTGAAAATGATAATTAAAAATTGAAATCAAAACTTGAATTACTAAAATGATTAAAAATTGAAACCAACCCATCAAAGTAATCATTGAAACAAAAAAATACCCTGACTAAAACACCCGATCGGGCAAATCAATCATACCCACATGAAACCAAACATCAATTAGATCTATAAAGCTAATAAAATTCCCAACAAATTTAATAAATAATGAGGAAATAAGGCACTCTAACAAAACCCAGATACCAAAGGTTCGACACGACAGTAGGTCTGTAGCTTAACTACTCAAGTATGATGTATACAAATTTCAATTTCTTTGTGACCCAACTCCAATATGTATACTGATAATGATGTATACAAATTTCAATTTCTTTGTGACCCAACTCCAATGTGTATACTGATAATGATGTCTCCAAATCTATGATCAGTCATAAGACCATAACGGCCCTTTGCGTTCGGTTTTTTTCCCAGCATGACCGTCATTGCATTCGCCAAATAGAATATAGTTGACAGAAAGTAAATTCATTGTTCATCTAAAGTAAATTCATTCTACAAATGAGAATGACAGAAAGTAAATTCATTTGCAATATAATTCAACCAAAACAAATTCATCTAATTAAGAGGGAGAAAAGTATTAAAATTCAAAGAACTGAAGAAACCAATTTCCAGAACAATAATTCAACCAAAACCCACAAAAGTTCAATTAGAAAAAAATAAATAAATGAAAACCATTAGAAACTGAAATAGAAATCAGACCTGGCAATAGATAGAACAATAGTGTCCCTGTTTTTTTTGGAAATTCATCCAATCAATCTCTGGCTACACTTTCAGTCGATCACACAGGTCACATGTCTCAACATGATAAGCTTGAGGTGATGCCCATGGCGTCAGTTTCTCTCTCACTTTCCCACCTACAAAATTAGCACTGCAAAAATAAGAACAAACAACACCAAGATTAGTCGTAAAAAAATTAGTAAATTAACACAAGTTTTCCAATTAGCTTGAACAGGGCGAATCATCCTAAATTTTTGTAAGCTAAAAAACCAAACCCTTCCAAATTAAAAAATCACTATAAATTGGGAAAAAAAAAATGAAATACACACATTCAAACAATATAGGCCAAAATTCAACACCAGGACCATAACAAGTTACTGAATCAAAAAGAAAAAAGGAAAATTGAAAGAAAAGGGAACAAATTCATTAGAAATCAACCCAATAAACATTTAAGTACCTCGAATTTGAGAAAGAGTCCGAAAATTTAAGAAACGCTAACCCGAAAAACCCTAAAAAATGAAACATACGGCAAAATTAAAAGAAGAACCATTAATCCACAAAACTAAGCACCAAAGATAGTGAACCAGGATCAAAAGAGGGGAAAAGAATGAGAACAAAAGCTTACAAATTTTCTAAGTGGTGATTTGACAGAAAGAATAGAAATACAGAGGAGAGAGAATGGGGGAGAAATAAAGTAGTTAATGAGAGATTACATCTTCTACATTAATTTCCTGGGATTTTGTAAGCGACGTGAAGTTTCAGATGAAAGAAATAGGATTGGATATCCATTTTAGTGAAAAATCTGTAGAATAGTAAAATGCATTACCCCATTGCAATGTCGTGCGCATATAATCAAAGAATTGGTGGCCCACAACAACACCTGCATCAAAGATATGGCAAAGGCATAGTACAACTTATATCATTGAGACTGTTGCACTAAACCACTTGCTGGGATATAGCACTTTCCAGTACTTATCATCTGTTACATTCTGCGAGCAAAGAACCAAGTAAGACTTAGTTTCCAACATCAAAATGCTCGTGAAAATAAATATATAAATATGAGCCAATACTTGAAATTGTATTAATATCAACCAATAGAAAACAGTGGTACACAGTGATACACAAATTGTGAGATAGAGGATCCGGACTCACTTTATATACACTCCATACATTGCTTAATTAGTTTACATCATAGCCAATACAAAAAAATTTCACAAGTGAAATAAGGAAAAGTTTATGAAAGAAAGTAAACTAAACTAAATCTGGCAAAGACCAAACCTGGCCTTCTCTTCCGAAGCATTATCTAAATTCCCTCCGTCGCAGATTAGTTTCACACTTATAATTTGAGAACTCCACTATTATTTTAATACATCTCTCTTCCGCACTACTATAAGTTAGGGTCTTATGCCCTCTCACATTCAATAAATTAAATACTCCACTATCACTTATCACATCTTTTTCCAAAAAAAAAGAAAAAAAAAAAGCCTTTAACCGTATCTTATCACTTCTACCTATTCAATAAAATAACATTGATATCAAACAACTTATCACCTAAAACTATGTCACATGATAAGTGTCAAAACTAATCTAGAAGGGAGTACCGATTTGTTAGGAAAAACGCGAGAACCGGGAGTCTCAAATATAACAATAAATGGAGTAGTTTCACAAAAGAAAAGATTTTTGTTAGTTTTTACATGGCTCATACAGAAATGGTAGAGCATGTCACTTGAAAAAATCGCTTAGGAGGGAAGAATAATTTTTTAAAAGTAGAAAATGGTGACAAGTATAGAGGATTATTTGAATAATGTAGTTAAGGTTACGGTATCAGATTTCAACAGTTCTAAATAAACCACAACATAATGGTGTTTGAAGAGCATGAACAGAGATTGCTGAATGATTTTAGCAATAATCTGTCATGAAAAGCACTCAAAATCCTTTGAGAGAAAGTCCACGAGAATCAATATCTACTTGATAAACATGTCTCCTTTAAGTGCTTCTGGATTCAAATCCCACAGAGAGTTTGGAACTTTGGATAGGTATATATATAACTCCAGTCTTCGGATGCAAAGCAGTTGTACACATAAATATAGGTATATATACGATTCATTCCGAAAGGTGAAAGGTCTAACATGATGACAAGACAAAGCAGTGTATAATCATCTTCCCTGGTTACGGTGAAGAAGAGTTCGGACACATAAAGGTTGATAGAAAGGAAAACCACAGCACACATGCCTTCTTTGAAGTTGAAACCATTAAAGCACTCAAAAGCCAAAGAAACCTCCTTCAAGTACAAGGTATCCCATAACTTTAAATCCAATTCCTTTCCAAGATGCAAATGATACTCAAGGGGAAGAAGTGTGTAATAGATCAGAAAAATGAAACATAAAAATAGGGAAAAGGAAAAATTGGGGAAAATATAATTGATCAGAGAAAAAGAACATAAAAATGGAACATAACTAAGGCTCCCTCTTCCACTAACATCACCCTACACCTCTCTCATCTTAGGCCACCTGCATGATAATAGAATGATATAGCTAATTTATACTGACTGGAAATGCCAACAGGAGCTACGCCTGACTTCTTAGGGGCCTAGGCCGTTGAAGCTCTACCCTTTGCCTTTCTGTTGCTATCTCTGTCTGTTGCTATTCTGCTAAACCCTCCATTTATTCATTTCCCAATCCCCTGTCCTTCATGACTTCATCCATCTGCAGTCTACATCTCTGTCATCCATCCCTTTCCTTTTCTACCCAAATTGTTCAAACCAACAGATTTTAGTGTTCATCAATTGACTATGCCCAGTTTCAAGGAGGTATTCACAGTAATGTTAGACAAATAAAATGCTTGAGTCTAAATTGGTAGCTAACGATTGACTGTTCCCCATAGCTCCAAAAAAACATCTCCAGAAAAATTAATATAAAAGAAAGCAGGGTTGCAACAGGCCATAACTCACCATGTATTGTGACCGTTCATCTTGAATAGCTACTGTCAAGCAACAACAGCAAGTCAAATGTTACACTAGCCACCTGCAAGTACCCATATTTAATTAGTCCGAGAGCATACAGGTGAAGAAAGAACTATTAGTCCGCCTTATTAACTGTACACGCCTACCTTAGATATCAATATATTTTTTCCTTCAAAAGCACCGAAGTCATATGCACAGGTACAGATTGATTATGAAAAAAATCTTAGCAAACAACAGGCTCCCTTTCTGAGAGCACAATGAATGGATCAGTTTTCGGAAGGAAAGGAGCAACTTGAGGTGTCTGCCAACAAAAGGCTCAACCATGAAGCTATGTAAGATGGATCAACTGCTAAGCTATTGTTTTCTGCAAATATCTGAATATATTTTCACTTTTTTTTTTTTGGAAAGCAAGTAAAATTTCACATTATTTTTTTTGGTAAGCAAGTAAGATATATTACAAAACCTTACAACCAAATACAACCTAAAACCTTGGCAAAAACACCAAGATCAAACTGCAAGGGTACATACTGCCTTTAACAACTACCTAGCTGTCAAGCTACTAAACCAGGCCTTAACCCTATCACTTGCTTTCCTAGGAATGATACTTATGATCCTTCCTAACACTTCTCTTTTCATGTTTTCCGTACATTTCTCTATACATATAACTCTATGATAAAATATGACATTAGACTGCTCAAACATAGGCATAAATTTTGTAGAATACAGATCAGCAAAAAAATGTCAGCTTCAGTACATAATTTTTTTTTTTGTGATGGCCAGTAGATTCTAAATATGGACGAGCATACATAGGCTTAGACCTCAGGCGAAGGAAAGGAGAACAACCAAAAAACTTTAATGAACACAAGCTCACATCAAACACAACAGAATAACTCATCAGATTCATATAAAGTAGTTCCTCTGTTTAATAAAAAATCTGCAACAATTGCCATTTTGGGAAGTTTTAAAAAATGTAACACTTATATTTTGGGGAAGTTTTGGAGTCCAAATATCACAAATTCACAATAACCCTTAACCAAACAATCAACATAATAATAGCCACACCTCCCTTCAATCTCTGGCAAACCACCAGCCCCACTTCCTTCACTCCCTGTCAGACCACCACCACCACCATCTTCCTCCCGGACACCGGCTTGTGCACATACTAAAAATGACTATGGGGACTATACTTAACTCTCACATTCATTGTATTTAGTCACACCAATTTTTGTCTTTGATCAACTCCACCCAACCAAACATTAAAAAAAAGTAACCAACACTCAATGGGGCAAACAAATGGGGACGAAGGGAGTAACCCCTAGTCTCCAACAACAATGGCTGCATTCTTTTAAAAAAGCACTAGAATGGTATTATAAATCATCAAAGGAGTTGTTGAACATGTTTAACAATGTAGATCTGGCAGCAACATATGTGGTACAAGAGTATTCTAACACCACATTCCAAGAATACATTGCAATGAACTATAAGCTACTCTGGCCTTGTAAAATCTCTGCTTCATCTCTAGCCATGAGGTCATCCTCTTTATCCCTGCAGCCAATATCTTCTATGCAACTCATCACTCACTTGCTTGAATGAAATTTGAACCATGTATCTGCATCAGCCCAAACCGCAGCTATAGAAAACAATTGTTTAGAATTAGTTAAACTAGATTTTATACAATTATACAATCCATATAATATACAACATAACAATAGCAAATAATTACATTTTAGGGTAAATTCTAAATAATTGTAAGTAAATACTAAAGGAAAATAACAATACTTACATTTCATTCATTAAAACGAGGAAACCCGATGGTGATATCGGCTTGTACAATAACAGCATCTATAAAAGCATTGCGCGCAAAATCAAACATGAAAACTTGTGTACCCTGAGCCATTAAGGGACGAGCCGCAAACCAATCCATCTGTTGGAATTCAGCACTCCGAGTGAAAAAACAGAGGGCATGAGTTCCTTGACAAGTATTAAGCATGTCAGCTTGAGTTTTCCCCATAATAGTTACTCTATTTACTATTGGGAAAACCCCCCTAATGATAGCTTCAGGTACCAAAGGATCATATATTCTCAAATTACAACCATACTTTACCAACTTTTTGCACATTGAAACAGCAGGAGAATAGCTAATATCACTAGTGCCTTCCTTGAATGCAATCCCAAAAATTGCTAAAGTTTTTCCCTTGAATGAAATCATTGAGGTCTTCATCTTGCGAACATGACAAGTCATTCTCTCTTCATTAGCAGCAATCGCATATCTAATAAATCTTGTGTGATCATCCAAGTTGTAATGATGGGCTATAAACTGAAGTACATTAAGATCCCTAAATAAATTTGGGCCCCCAACAACAGTATATGGATCCAAAAATCCATTACCAATCCTTACATCAGTAGTAATCACCCTCATGACATCCTCAACATTAACCTCAATTTGATTACCAACCTCAGTCATCATGTTAGAAAAAATAGCCATGATTCCCAAACAACAATTAGCGGCTAGTCTACCGAACTCAGCTGCTCTGAAGTTCGCATTCAATATTATTGCCTGACCCATTTGATGATAAAATAACCGAACCAAATTCAAATACGCAAATGGATGATCAGATTTCATAGCCAAAACAACTCTTGTGGGATTAGTCAAATCTAATATGGCAGTTCCTAAGGAAAAAAATTGAGGGTTCGACACTAAAATACGTTGTAGATGGTCACCCATCACATCATCCAATTTATTCCCATCTAGAGAGGGAAAAGGGGAAAAGTCGATTACGAGTTTCCTAGAAATAGCATGTCGACGAACCAGTTTTACCACTTTCTCCCAATCTGATAAGTCGATGTTTGCTAAAGCTCCGATCCTTCTAGTTTTCTTCTCCAAATCTAATTCAGCACAAATAATAATTACTTGAGCTTGCATAATGCTAGTGGCATGATGCGGTGCGGTTCAAAATAGAACATTAGGGTTTGGAGCCGTGTGAATAGCGGTAAACAGTTGATCAAATTGTGGCTCCTGGATTGGTAGGTTGAATACTCCAACACCACCAATTGCTGCAACTGCATTTTGGTATTGAATGATCAGAGTATCATTCACATCAATCAAAATGAACCGCTTCAATGGAAATCTATCGGCTAACACATGAGTTGTTAAAACACCGAGTGGACCAGATCCTATACAACATATGCGAGTCAATTCATCTATTCCAGGCACCTGCAATAAGATAATAAGAGGATTTATCGACTACCTTTCATAGAAGCATCTCACATGAGTATTTATTGAAATCTATACTATAGTGCTCTGTGCTCCGAAAGTAAACTAAATCAGCAGAATCTAAACGGCTAACATCTTCTCTTGGAAGATGTAATGATAACATGGCAGCCAGACGGTTGACACAATTGTCATTCGGCCTGTTGCGCCAGGGTTCGTGGATCTGCCGAATAGTTCCATCTGCAGGCGGTCCAGTTCGGTGAAATCATCATCGCCGATGCTTGACATGGATGGGTCTAGCTTCCTGACATAGCGAGGCCCCCCGAAGTAATTAGGGTGGCTCTCATCCGAAGGAGCTCGCACCCAAATCCATTGCGCCCTCCAATGTTTATCCGAGGTGTCGTTCGGATAAGAGGTCAGATAACCTCTTTCGTCTTCTATGTGCCACCAGCCTCGGCCGTGTATTCTGCTGGACTGGGTGTTCAGCGACAGCTTGTATGCACCGAAAACAATGAACGCTCGGCTGCGGCCCATAGAAGATACACACCTAGAGATAGGTCATGATTCTCTTGATGCTGACAGGGGTTAATTGGGCCAATGAAATATTGTACCCATTCAGGACGTTGATGACGAAGGGGTGCACTGGAAATCGCAGCCCGAACTGCAGCTGCCGAACATAGACCCCAATATAACCAGGAGGGGCCCGATAGATCCTCTCCAGCACTGTGGGCATTCGGCACCAATACCCATCGGCTTCCATTATGCCGTAGTAGACCTCCAACTGCTCGGCAAAGTGGTACCGAGCATCATTTGCAAGCCACCATTCGGCTGGCTCGGTCTTCAACAGACCAGAGTTCTCGTATTCATCGGTCCATTCCCTCTCTTCAGGGGTCAAGGGCCGAGATCTGGTAGGAGCCCTTTAGCTTGAAGTACTTGCTTCGGCTGGCTCCCTAGGAGGGGCGCTGTGTAGCGGAATAACCCTTAATCCTTCTCCCCTCGAGGATGAACCAACCTCAATTCGGGCGTTTGGGTTTCGGCCGCTCAAAAACGGCATTACTGGCAGAGGACGGTTCCTCCTCAGAACTAATTGCGGCACTTCCTCCTCAATAGTCTCGTCTTCAGGCTCCATTGGCCTTTTGCCAGGGTTGCCGGCCATTTCTAGGTCGACGGCGACGCGAAAAAAGTGGGAAAAAGGGGAATAGCTTAAAAGAAGGGGAAATCCGAATGAAATTCGGAGGAAATTACCTTTATCTGACTCGGAATTCGTCGATTTAGTGGTTCGGAGCAACGAATTCTGCTGAAAAGCTTCGGAAAAGGCGGAAATGGGTGGAAGAGAAAAAGAGCTTGCGCGAGTTCGCTGGAAAAGTGAGAGTGAAATGCGAAGAGTGTTTGATTTGGGAATGCCGGAAATGATTATGAAAAATACAAATTAAATACTTGGTGCAAAAACCCACTCACTTAATGTCAGTTTACAAACTATTCAAATTCTTCCCAAACCAATTGCAAAACCGCCAAAACTTAATTTTCCACTAAGTCCACTCCACTTCCCCACTAACATTAGTTAACCGTCATTAAGGTTAATTAATCATCATTAACGGTTATATTAACTGTACTGAATTATCAAAAACATTTAAATTATTTTCATTTATTTTCCTCCAAATCCTTCAGCTGCTGAAACCCGACCCGTTATCCTCACAAATCGGGTCTGGGGGGCAAGTTATTTAGGGTCCAAAATACTTATATTCGGGCCCAGTCATAATGAAAATAATAAAAGCCCAATAGGCAAGGTACAACCCTCCATGCATTTGCCAAGTCAATTATAGCAAGGCCTAATAAAATGGCAGCCCATTTGGTTGATCAAGCCCAATCTAACTAATGGAATAAAGGTATAAAAGCTTTCATTTCAATACAATTACATACCTTCACATTAAATGTCTTAAGCAACAAATACTCTTGCATAGCTTTTCTCTAATACTTTTGCATCCGTACTGACTTCGACATCGGAGGGGCCTTCCTCGGCACACCCACCGAGGCTAGTTTACGTTTGCATTGCTGTGCAGGAAATCCCCAATTCAGTTGTCACTCGAATTGGGCTTCATCTCCACTCATCCGAAGGGCCAGCCGAAGGCCCATTGTTTTCTGACCGAAACAAATATGTTGTAGATGGTCACCCATCACATCATCCAATTTATTCCCATCTAGAGGGGGAAAAAAGGAAAAGTCGATTACGAGTTTCCTAGAAATAGCATGTCGACGAACCATTTTTACTGCTTTCTCCCAATCTGATAAGTCGATGTTTGCTAAAGCTCCGATCCTTCTAGTTTTCTTCTCCAAATCTAATTCAGCACAAATAATAATTACTTGAGCTTGCATAATGCTAGTGGCATGATGCGGTGCGGTTCGTAATAGAACATTCGGGTTTGGAGCCGTGTGAATAGCGGTAAACAGTTGATCAAATTGTGGCTCCTGGATTGGTAGGTTGAATACTCCAACACCACCAATTGCTGCAACTGCATTTTGGTATTGAATGATCAGAGTATCATTCACATCAATCAAAATGAACCGCTTCAATGGAAATCTATCGGCTAACACATGAGTTGTTAAAACACCGAGTGGACCAGATCCTATACAACATATGCGAGTCAATTCATCTATTCCAGGCACCTGCAATAAGATAATAAGAGGATTTAGATCGACTACCTTTCATAGAAGCATCTTACATGACTTCCACATTTTTACAGTGGGATTAAAAATTATTACCAACAATAATATTCATACCCACCGGATACAAAACATAAATTTAGAATGATAATTCATGCAATAGTCATACAGAAAGAAAAAAAATTATACCTTAGTTGCATCGGCTAATATGTTGGCATCCATTGTTTCTGACTTTAGAGTCTGATGGAGTTGGCTTCTAACACAACAGGTGGTGCCTATTGCGTTCGTGGTGGTGCTTCAGGATTCCACTGTGCTTCGTCCAAGATCAGAACGAGCTTGCCTAGAAGCTATCGTTTTGGGTCGAAGCACTAAAAAAAAAGGATTGGCACTACAAAAACCAAAATATACATAAAAATCAATTCAATTAAATATTACTCAATAAAATCTAAAATTTTCAGGAACAATTAAACAAAACAAATTGAAAGTAAACAATGTAGAAATAAAATCGAGGATAAAGTAGAGCCGACAATCAGGTTGAGTTCGGGTTCGATTTTGATTCGGGTCATACTTAAACGGGTTGAAAACCCCAAACCACAACCTATAAACAGGTTCAAAAATATGAACCCTGAGATCGACCCAAACCCGACATGTTCAACCTATTTATTAAAAATCTTGCTATAAACGGGTCAACCTGATCTGCTCAACCCGTTTATTTTGCAAACAGGTTGATAAACGGGTCAACCTGATCCGCTTAACCCGTTTATAAAAAGTTTGATATTTGCTTAAGTTCAAGTTGGCACTTCGGTAGCACAAAAGACTTGTTGTCCCATGTTTGCTGTTCAAACAGTCAAGTAAAATCTAAAGAAACTCCAAGTTAAACAATTATTACATCCAACTAAGTAGCCACTTAAATACATCCAAAGTTCAAAAGTAAAACACTTGAAAATGTTACAATATCAACAACAACATTAATAACAGTAGCTACAACATCAACAACAATAACACCAATAGCAACAAAAATAAAAACAAGAACGACAACAACAGCAAAAATACCAAAAACAGCAGCAACTACAACTTGTATCCTACAATAACACCAACAACAACAGCAGCATCAACAACACCAACAACAATAACAACATCAAAAACACCAACAACAATAAAGTGGCAACAACAACAACAAGAAGACAGCAATCAACATTTCACAACGATTGTTTCAACTAACACCAAAGAAGAAACAAAATATTAACTTCCTTAAGTTATTACCTCTTACCTTAAGTTCAACATTTTTTTTTGAGAGGAAAGTTATTACCTTAAGTTATTCTAACTTAGACTTATTATTACTCAATTGATTAACTTATGGTTCATACTTAGAATTTAAAAGAAATTGAGTCCTTAAAATTTATGTCCATGAGTATTTCTAAGTCTAATTAGTTCTAATTAAGTCATAGGATAATTGAATTGCAAATTTGAAGTCCAATTGTCATTTTATTTCAATTTTAAGTTGCCGAAAATTCGTCGGAAAATGTTCAAATTCGTCGTCAGAAATCAGTTGAACTAGTCAACTTCCGGGACGCTTTTCCGGGGCCTCAGGCGTCCAAATCCCGATCCGAAAAGTGCCATGGACTCCCTGCAATATCCTCTATCCATCCATGTAGAAAACAGTCCATCCAATACATAACCAATTCAGTACGAGCGTCCAAAGATAGCAAGTCACACAGAAATGTCGGAATTTTGAAAGTGCTCTAAAAATTCTGAAAAATTTACACCAACAGAATAAGCCATACAAATAGCTCATACTCCAAAAATCAGTCGAAAATTTCAAGTAGAACACCTTCAATTAATTATTCCAAGTCACTGAAATTAACAAATTATACAACCAATATACTTAACTTAGCAATTACAGATATACAAATCCATAGATAGTACATGTATCTAGTTTATGCTGGAAATTAATTAATTGAGGAAGGAAAGGAGGAAGAAGGGGAAGGAGAAGGCAGAGGAGAGCGAGGACGGCGTGAGGTGGTGTGATGGAATCCAGCAGCTGACAGCTTGAATAATTAATTTTAGCAATATAATTTATAACCAGCTCAACTTCCAATTGAGGAAATGAGAGTTGGATTAATCAATCCAGTGATAATCCAGATGAATGAAGGGAAATCACGAGGATATTGACTAATATTAAGCAATATAAAACTTGATCAGAAGATAAAGAGAGAGAAAGAGCAGAATAGAGGAGGAAGATGGTGTATTTTCATTACTGACTTGGCCGTTGTAATTGTTGCAAATCTTCCTTCCTCTTCTTCATTCTTTATGAAACCCGAGAGGAGAGAGAGAGTTTGGTTTTGTTGAGGGTTTTTGTGAGGAGAGAGAAATTGGGTTTTGTTTCCTACGTATATATGCCAAGGTTCTCAAAGCTTAATTAATACAAACTTAACTAACTAACTAGATTAACTTAACTAATTAAATGAATTTAGGAAGTTTTCAAATATGACAATTACTAATTATAGTAGTTACTATAGAAATAAGCTTTAAAAAATAAAGCTTATCATTTAAAATAGAAATCAAAATAATTTATGCTTAACATATTAATTAAAACAAAGCTTATAAAACAATTATTTAATATATATATATATATATATATAATTAAAATAATAAAAATAATAAGGGTTCAATTAAAATAATAATAATATTAAGAATAATTAATAACATTAGAATAATTTAATTACCATGTTTAGGTAATTAAATCGGCTCAAAAATTTTGGCCTGTTACAAAATTGAAATAAAATTCGACAAAATATATTATGTTGAGTAACACGAGGAAATTGTATGAAGTCGTAAAACAATTCAAACACCAACAACAGCAGAAATAACGAAAAAAATAAAGAAAATTGAAATAAAAACATACCTGAGCAGAGATGTGAGAGAAGAGGGCAGAGTCGGAGAGTGACGGAGAGCCGAAGAAGGACGGAGAGGGGCGGAGAGTTGGATAGGGCGAGAGGGAGATGAGACTTGGAGAGAGAGTGAGAAAACAAATAACAGACAGCAAGTGCAAGAGGCAAGAGGAGGACAAATGAAAATTTGAAAGCGAAAAACATAAGTTTTTACATTACGGTTAAATGGTCAATTTCGGGTTAATCCGACTTGAACCTAACACAATTAGTTAAATAAATTAGGCGGGTTATGATTTTCAACTTTAACCTTTTATAGCCTTTGTCAGGCAGTCAATTTGGGCAAGCAATAAATTTGAGGAGCTCTTGTTCAAGAGTTAAAAACTTTATTTTTTTTTCTTAGTTTGAATGAATGACGAGAGCTACAAATGTAGGAAGGGACATTCTTAAATTTTCAAGCACTATTGCACTAAGCTGTAAGCTATACACAAGACACATGACATACATAGTGCAGATGAACTGAAGATTTGGAATTTGAACAAGCTAATGTAAGTTAGGAACTAGTTGAAATCAGTACAACATCACAAGCAAAATCAAATAAACTAATTGATACCACTTACAATCACATGTTTTAGTAAACTAGCTGCTTAAAATGTGAGATTCAATATTATCTACTAATTTAACAACAATATCAATGGGATACAAATTGAATAACCCATCACCAAGGACTGCAGGCAGTATGTTCTCTAAGGCTTCTAAGTGGTGTCCATCTCGCATACATACACAAAACTAAGGTCGCATCATTGGATCAGAATGCACAATTGCCTAAGCATTATTTGAGAAACGGGACTCCAGCCTGCAAATTTGCTTAACTCGTGAAATGTGCCTGCAACCTGAAAACCAACCAAATAAATGAAAATTCCAGGGGAAACAATAGTGTACTAGAGTGGGAAATGATAGTAAACAGATGAAAACATGCCTGGTTGCGCATTTATAATATATTGTTTCTGGGGAATAATAGGTGCGTTGGTTTTCAATATTCTCCAGGAATCAGCAACAAACATCGCAAATGTAATACATCTGAATCCACGCTCTTTGACATTGTTTTCAGACCTGCACCATAAAATTTGTGATTCTAGCATCTCATTAAAACCTTCATATAACATCATAATTAAAATCCACCAGTTGTGCTGTGAGCAAGCTCAAAGTTGAAGGAAGGAACATGAAGCATTTGTAATGAAGTAATTCCACTTTGGTTCAAACATGCAAGTATTCAAGTACGCAAGTGAAAATTACTGGACAACCAAAAGAAAGGGATGGGGGAAAATTTATTGGGGATGGGAGATAGAGAAGAGGAAAATAAAAGGAAAAAAAAGGCAAAAATCCTCCTTGTATAAGCTGGTATACCCCAAAAAACGATATTCCACTAGTGTTCAGTCACTCAAGCGTAAATCACAGCTACCATTACAGACATACTCCAAACTTGGGCAAAAAATAGTGTCTTTATAAATGCCAAAAAACAGACTATTATGATGTTGACGCCAAAAGAAATTTGAACTTCACAGAAATTACATTTACCCATAGGATTCTTGATGATATCGTAATAATCAGGCACGTCTCATCCATCAACTGGTTTCTTAAATGGCCATGCATCGGAATGGTCTTGCATAGACTACTTTAAGGAGAGTAGAAACATATCATCACTAACTACTCAGCGCTTCAGCTTTAATCAACCATTAAAAAATGTAAACCAGGGAGGGGGCATTACACCACAATCAGAACAAGGTTTAAGTAGCTGGTTCCTAAAATGGTCAAGTATCAGGATGGTCACGCATATAACTGCTCAAAGAGGAGACACATTTTCTTACGTAAGAGGCTTTAGCATTATTTAAGTATTAAAAGAGCAAATCATGGCAGGGTGTTGCAACACCATCATAGCAGGATTCACTGATGCTTTGAAATTTTGAATGATCCAATAGCTTTTTAGGTTTCTAAACAAATATTTATAATCCATGGGCAGATGGAATATGTGAAACCAGATGTGCAAAAGACAAGTAGAGCACACAACTGACTAAAAAAGAAAATAATGACTAGCTAGGACAATTATTGCACCCAAGCCAGCTTAGCAAGCCCCTGGCTAATCTTGGTTAATGGTTCTCTTGAGCTCATCACCTCGACCCTCAAGCTTTATTGAGCCCAAGTCTAGTTAGGTGTTTTTCACTAGTTTTATAACTTCTATCATAGTTTCTTTATTGTCAATAGTGTTTTAAAGCAGTTTTCATTTACTTAATGTAACATATTCTTTTATGAAATCTTATACACCCCCCCCCCCAAAAAAAAAAAAAAAAACAAAAACAAAAAAACAAAATGTAGTCAAGCCATTGGTGTCCAAGTCAAGCACATGCTTAAGCATGGTGTAGCTTCAAGACAACTCGAGCTTTAATTTTGCTTTTCGTTCCAAGCAAGAGCTTGACTCTTGTTCAGCTCCACCACTACAGAAAGCCTTTGGAAAGGCACACGCAGTACGCCTTGCACTGGTGCCCAAATACTCAGAAGGATCCTGGGGACGGCGTTTTCCTTGAGGAGCACAAAAGCGCACTGCAGCACACCGAAGCACAGTAGCTAGAGCCTAGAGTCCATGGTCCGCAATCACTTTTTCCACATAGAACCTTTGATATGAAGAATTGTGCCTCACTCCTTTTCTTTGCGCCTAAGCTCAAGGACCACTATCACCTTAGTGCACTAGCCGTTTCATACACTGCTAAAAAGCAAGGGAAAAAATCAAAGATGTGCAAAAGCAGGAGAACCAACCTTCAAGAGTGTGCTCATGAACATAGTCAGAGATTTCTGATATGAGGCACTGTCCCCCGGTGCAATTGACGGTTTAAACCTTGAATATCCATATTGATCAGGTGTCCACCCAGCCTCTTCTACTTTTCAGGTGTCCACCCAGCCTCTCCTATAGTCAGACATTATATTACCCTTTCTCATAATTTATGGTATGTGTAACATGAGTAAGTACAAAAGAAATCTTCTAAAAGTTGCAATAACTATCAAGAAAAGGCATGTTGGAAAACAAGGAGAGACAGAGATAAAACAATAGGTTATAAGCCAATGCTTTCTTCAAACATTTAGATGAGAACATGTTACTTAGATATTTTCTATACATTCACAAGTAAAGATAAATGTACACAATACATTAAACCTATCGTCTAGCCCTAATGAAAACAACCAAGTGTACTGATACCTACGTTAACCTTTAAATTTGTATCCTTAGCTTTCATTACTTGGAAGATCACGCTCAATGCTGATGATTTTAATGCATAAATCAAGAATTACCATAACGCTCGTGATTTTAATACATAAATACCGCAAATTCAGCAATTGAATTTTGCATGAATCTCAAGCAAATGCGGATATATCAATTAACAAGACTTTTTAATACCTTTTGCTCTTTTACTTCACTTTATTTTCATAGCAAGCATATACTTATGCCGTTGAAAGCTATGAAAAATACTAATGTATTTATTTATTATCACTTTCGCAAACAATAACAGTATATTTAGGCTAACTAAAAAAAATGATATTGTAGAAATAGGGCTGATATGCGCTCGACCCAACAACTAGTTTGTTTATAAAGTTATAACTTATAAGTTGTGAATAGGGGTGGCAATGGATCGGAGGTGGGTCGGGTGATGCTTCATCAGCCTCCATCCGCTTATGTTCCATCCGTCATCTGACCCATTCATCATGCACCCGATTTATCCTCCATTCACGTCCGCTTTACTTATCATTCACATATGAATCAGGGTCCATCATAAAGACATAATGTTTTAATGACATTTAGTAGGAACAAGTATAAATTGGATTCATAAGAAATACATTACTGGTACATTAAACATTTATATAGATATATCAAGTGAATAATAGAGGTATAATTCGAATTGAAATATAAAAATCTTATATTAACATTGACAAGAAGGATAAAAAAATACGGAATTCTGAAAAGAGGAAAGAGAATTTGGAAGAGATTTCGTAGCTGATGAACTATGAGTCAAGATATAGCACAACTAAATCCAAGTTTAATTACGAAATTCAATGAACATCTAAAAAAAATAAAATTCAAATTGATCCAAAATTTACTGAATTGAAGATTGACATGGACAAAAAACTAAGAGAAAGAGATTGGAGGCCAATTTAAAATACCATACCTAGTTAATCAAGAGTGACAACAACCAAATTACACTAGAGATCCACGCTACCAGTTGATAAATAACTCGAAAATCATCTTTTATTTTGCTGAATTGGGATAAAAAAGGTCATTCTCAGCCATGGGCATACACATGGCATACATGTGATATATATACGTGGGATGAGTGAAAATGGTTGGGCGCTGGCCGCCATGTTGAACTTCATCGTGAAGCTCAAAAAGGGGAGAAAGAAATCGGGAGAGAGAGAAGATGTGAGATTTTTTGGGTTATTCATGTGGTAGGTTGGAAGAAGGGAAGCTAGTGCGTATAAAATTACCAAATATGCCATTATTTACATGGGTTTTTTGTTTTTTTTATCTGATAGATTAAGTTAATTGAAGGGATATAAATGCTTCTCACCCTTCTCACCATAAGTGTGCTTGTCATATGAGCCTAAATCGAAGGGTCGGGATTCGTTGAGAAGGGTTCTTAATATGTGAAGCGAGAGAAACCTAGATATATCAAGTGTGCAATGTAAATACATTAGTTTAAACTACAAATGCATTGATGTTATTCTACTATGACATCAAACTTTTATCATTTTTAAGTATCCTAGATACATGGAGTAACCACTACAAGACTGTTTTGTGTGGTTTACGTATTTTTGTTTTAAATTTTCTAAGAAACAGAAAACTGGAATAAAAATTCAATTACAAACGAGCCCTTAGATTTACCAGGTTGTTTGTTTAGAAATGAGAAAGAAAATCCCAATTAAAACCATCACAATCACTGCCCTTCAGCGCAGCCCCTCCCTTCCCCTCTTCCTCCGGCTGCTGCCCCTATAGGCCCTACTCTTCTCTGTCACTGCAGCCGTAGTTTATCCTCCCTTATTCTATCTTTTTTTTTTTTTTTTTTTTTTTTTTTTTTTTTTTATAAAAAATCTATCTTAGATCTAGAATTTTTGTGGGTGGTGGGTGGAGATTCTTGTTGGTTGGTTGGGTTTTCAGGGGTGGGGTGGGGTTTTCGTAAGTGGAAGTGAGTTTTTCAGGTGGGTGGAGATAAGGTTTTGTGGTTAGAATGGGGTGGGGTTCTCGGTGGCTGGAGTGGATGATGTTTTCGGTGGTTGGTGGCTTAGAGAAAGGGAAACGGGGGGGTGGGATGGGGTATCAAAATAGAGGAGTTTGGGGGGTATGGAGAAAGGGAATGATTAAATGACTTTGCAAACAACAAAGAATAGAATTAGACACGTTGATTCTCTTTCCATTTCCTGAATACCCCATACCAAACGCCCCCTAAGTTCATAAAACAAATGTTTTGTATACATCAATCCATGAACCTTTCGTGTACCCATCGGACAGCAGCCCTTTCGGGGGTAGGTCGAAGCCAGAGGCTCCCTTCTTTTGGTCGTTGCAAATAATACATTAAACAAACATTTATGTATATTATGAAAATCATTAAAAATACATTAAAGAATCAAGAAGTCATTCTAACTTATTAGACCAAATCCTCAAATTCAATACCAGTATACCTTAAGAAAATCACTGAAAATTTTAAAAGAAAATAATTTAACACAGACAATTAAATACAAAAAAAGCTCAAGATAGCACATTGTTCAAATGCAAGTTCTATTTCCTTGATCTTCAACTTGCTAAGTTCCTCCATACATTTCAAACACTTCAACACTCCACAAACAGAAATCACAAACAATAAAGCTAGGTCTCTTGGGCAATTTGGGTTGTAAAGCGGGGGGATTGAAGAGTTGTAAAGCGAGTACTTCCACTCATGGGAAAACTGCTCAGTTAGTTGGGTTGGGGAAGGCAATTACGGGAGGAACAAAAAGAAGCAAAGGAACAAGAACATTGTGCTAATTTGGGCCGTTGAATTTTTATCCAAGGGACACAATGGCCCAAGTATTTAATCGAGTGTGAGAATTTAGCTAAGGCCTTGTTTAGTTCACCTTATTTTTACTTATTTCAGAAAAAATAAGTTCAGATCAGAAAAAATAAGTTCAGATCAGAACATCGTTTTATGTGCGGTTTTTTATCGCTAAATATTCTTAATTTCGTAATGAAAAAATTTGTGAAAATTACATATTAATAAACTACACATTATTACGAATCTAACAAGATCCCACTTGATATATTTTTTCCTTATAGATTATCGTACACTTAAGGTCAAAGTTTGGTCAAATCAGACAATCAGATCAGATCAGAAAAAATAAGTTCAGATCAGATCAGATCAGAAAAAATAAGTTCAGATCAGATCAAATCAGCATAAATAAGGTGAACCAAACAAGGCCTAACATATTATAGTTCTCTATTGCTTGAAACTTTAGGTATAGAGAAATGCAACTCACTTTTGATCCAGCTCATTGATAATGGTTCTCGTGGTTATAAATTCACTTTATATGAAGTTTGATCATTGAGATGGACATTTTTGTGTTCCTATACTGACTGAAGTTTAAATTTTTATATGAATATTTTCCTGGTTTTTTTAATTAATTCATATGGCAGTTTGTGCAGTTCAAATACTCGGTGAAAGGATACTTGTAATTTACTTTGTCTTTTGATATGCATCACATTGTTTGATTTATTCTGTCTTTTGATATGCGTCACACTGTTTGATTTATTCTGTATTTTGTACCTTTTTGAATTAAGTTCTTCAGAATCCCTCGTTCAACAATTATATGGTGATCATCGTGACTTTAAGTTTTGACATTGCAGGTTACCTTCACTTAGGAGTCTGTTGAACTCGCACTTGGGGACGTACGACTTCAACTCTTTCTTTTTCTTCTGGGACGGCTGACTAGAATTGTCCGCCACCTAGACTTCTTTTCTTTTCTTGCTCTCTTCTTTTTTGGCCGACTGAGCTAACCGACTCTCTTTTTTGTCGGACTTTTTAGGGTCCGACGTCTGCTTGATGGCACAAAGCTCCGTCGCCTATATATAGGCTTCGACTTCCATCAGAGCTTCTTGGAGGGTAGCCACCCTCTTTCTAACTAAGTCGACTTTGAAAGTCGACCCGTCTTTCAGACCCTTGAAGAAGTCTGTGTAGGCCACTTCGTCAGACAGCCCCTGGATCTGAATTCTCATTAGATTGAACCGCCTGACACAGGACCTTAGCTCTTCTCTATCTCCCTGCTCAAATCAAGACTTGTATTTTTGGATGGGATGTTCATAGAGAAGTTGGATGCGAACAAGTATGCAAGCGTCTTGAAGTTATTGATGCAACCGGCTGACAGATTGCCAAACCATCGTTGGACTATGCCCTTCAACGTCGCCCGGAAACATCGACACCAAGTGGCGTCATACAACCCCTTCTTAACCAAGTGGCGTCATCGACACCATGAGGTTGGTATAAGCCATTAGGTGGTCTTTTGGGTTAGTGGTACCGTCATAGGTACCAACCAACACATTCTTAACCTTGGCCGGCTGAGCCGCCTCGGTTATCTCCCTGGAAAACGCAGACGGTTGTTCCCCAAAGTTTAGTAGCCGGAGCTGCTAGTCCATAGGCTGGACATTCAGTGCCGCCTGACCCCCGAAGGGTCGGCTGCATGTATGGTGATCCATATGGCATGTATGGCTGTTGGGGGCACATACGGAGCCGGCTGGATAATCTGAGAGCCAGTTCGTGCGGATATGCTGCGTGATTGATTCTCTCGGTTTATTTCCGAATACTTCATTGAAGTATTCTGGAAACTATCTGGGTAAGTCGACGTTGAGGCCGACTCAGACAACTATTGACTTCTCTTCTGCTGGATTAACATCCGGGCATCTGAGTAAGTCCTTTTTTATCCATCCGGCTGAACTTGCCGGATGGCCTTCCTTTTCCCTAATTTAGGGAAACGAAGTTTTGAAAGGTCGATCATGGGCCCATCCGCCCCCTTTGGTTTAGGGTGAAGAGTAGGCACACGATCCTTAACGTGCTTCTTCCCTGAGGGAGAAGGCTTCTTGGCCGACTAACCCTTGTTGGTGTCAGTTGACTTGTTAATTAGGTCCTTGATTTCCCCTTTGAAACTCTTCATGAGTTTCATGAGTTTGTCTCTAGTAACGGGAGCAGCACCCTCCGCCGCCTGGGGTAGCCCAGCCGACTTGACGGTTGGGTTGGTTGGACCAGCTTTGTCTTTGCCCCGTTCCCTTGTTTCCTTGGAACGGGTGCGTCTTGTTCTGAATGACCCGTCTGGGGCCACATAGGTGTTGACCTCAAGGTCGTCACTACTATCTTGGTCCGTGTGAACATCAGCTTCGGCTGCAGGCCGTTTTCCCTCAGCAGGCGGTACAGACTCTGATGCCATCTTAGAAGTACTCTCCCCACAAACGGCGCCAAATGTTTCGGGGTTTTTGGAGTCCCTCGGGAGAGTTACAATTCCAAGAATGCGCGTCGACTGTCCGTACCTGCAAAACCACGGAAACTCCGGTTGGGTGGAGTTTCGCCTCCAACGATCAAGTTAGAACGTGTCCGGATGTATGAAAGTGCGGAATGTAAAGGTTTTTCAATTCTCTCGGATTTTTAGAGAATTTTGCAATTAATATTGCTCGGGTTTTTTGTGTGTATATTTTATGAATGAATGTCCAATAAATGAGGATTTTCCTCTATTTATAGTGAGAGGGGATCCGTTCCCCTTTTATGGGTTGGAGTGCCACGTGTCCCTAGAGGATTGGTTTTCTCATAACCTCTCTGATGTTGACACGTGTCAGCACACGATTAGTCCACGTGGACTGGGTATTTTTACCCTAAACACTATATAGTTGTATGCTGCAAAGAGGATTCCTTGGCACTTTAGTGATTCAATGTTGCTGTTGGTTGCTTATTGAGCATTATGGTTGCTTTAAAATCCGAAAACTCGACTACCTGGATCTTTGATTTTGAGCCTGATTTTGTTTTTGTTACATTTTTTGTAAGGATTTAAAGAGTATGGTGGTGTTGTCTTGGCAGCTGCAGCCAGGGCTGTTTGATCCAAGGCTGCAGCTGCCTCGGCTGTAGCAGCCTGGGAAGCAGCAGCAGCCAATGCTTAAAAATGCAAATGTCAAGGTTTGGTTACATGCAAGTGTTTTTCCTTTTGCACTCTTAATCTTGTGAGCATAGTGCAATGAGCAAAAGCTTTCTTCTATGTCTCATCATACAGAATTCCTACAAAACATGATGCTGACATCTTTCTCATATATTTGTTCATTACTACATTTGCATTACAAGTGTTGTTTTTATTAATTTAGGTTTGTCTTAGTGAGCTTGTAAAGATTGTCTTATCTAGTTTTTACCCTCCTTTCTTCATATGTGATAATTGTGAAGTGACATACGATTCTAATCCTACTACATACATGTACCAATTGATCAGGTTGAATTTTGAAGATGTACGAGCAGTGTTCTTTTGTGTGGTTACTGCTTATCCATGTCCATTAAATCAGTTATTTTAATTGTGTTTAATGAATGAGAGAAAAAACTTGACTTTGTTATTTGTAGTAGTTATGCAGCAATAATGGCCTTGAACTAATTGTAATATTTTTTTTCTACTAGCGTCCTCAAACAATGTTATTTGGTAGTTCAATACTACTATATGATTATATGATAAAATAAATCAACCTAGTTTATTTTTATAATTTTCAACTATTTTTCTTTTGTAATTCTTAGTTAAACCTTGTGTAATAGTTAAGTAATTATAATGACTAAAGAGTACTATGCCTCAAATTACAGGTTGTTAATGCAGAATAATGGTATTCAAATACAGAGTAACAAATACACTCCCTAAAATAACAATATTAAACTCCCGAATAAAAGTAGTTGTCTCAAATCTATACTTAGTATTTAATAACTCAAACCGAGAAAAACACATGTCCCCATCCTATTACAGTTCCCAATCTTTTTTTTCAAA